TCTAATGTTGGATTTTCCCCCTTACCAGAAGGCGACTCCTTGTGGAGTACTGTGAAGCCATTACCATGGTGACTCCAAGCCTCCCCTCTGCACAAACACTGCCCCATTACCTGGAGATCCTAGATGTAAGGACTTTGCTCCACTTATAAGAGGGAGAGTTCCTGGGGAATGAAGCTTTCCCCTTTCCTGAACATCAGCTGTGGGTCTCACCCCCACCCCCCTTTAAGGAGCATGTTTGAATGTGTGTGCACGTGTCCTGGAGTAGAGACCCAGCCCTAGCGTGCCAGGAGGCTGCGGGGAACCCCGTGTTACTGGTGTGCCAGAGCCCTGTGTCAACCACGCCCACTCGGAAAGGCCCAGTCTCGTGTCTGTGCACGGAGCCTCCAGCTTTCGCTCACGTTTCTCACCCTGCCTCTGTGAACACATGTCGCTCAGCTGGGCTCTGCACTCATCGCTCCTGCCAGCTGGCAGCCTGCCCCTTCCTCTCCTGCCAGCTGGCAGCCTGCCCCTTCCTCGGCGCAGGGCGGGGCGAGCGGGCACGTGGGGCTGCGGTGTGAGGCAGGCAGGGCCTCTCCAGGGGTGCCTGTGTGGCTCTCCCAGTGGGCAGGTTCCCATGAGGGGCCAGCAGCAGGGGCTTGCAAAGCAGGGCAGAATAGTCGTGGGGCTCTCCTCCAAAGGGAAGCAGGGCGGTCATTTGGGGTCTCCTATGGGGAAGAGATTAGAAGGGATAACTGGCAGATGTCTGGGGGAGGAAGGGGGGAAACCAGGGTACCTGGGGTCTCCAACAGGCAGGAGCACCTGAGTTCCTCGGCTCTATTACAGTAGCAGGAAAAAAGACGGTATTGATTTGTTTACAGAGAAAGAGGAGATGGAGATGGTTTTTCTAACAAGAAAAAGCTTGAATGCTGGTAGTGAAAATGTTGGCTAGAACAGGAAATGGAGGTTAAGTGCAAAAGGGATTTTTGGATCCAGGATGGCTCCTAACCCTTTCTCTGACTGTTTTTTAGGCCCTGTCAGACATGGAATGCTCCAGAAAATCCACCTCTACTTAAATGGGGTTGTTGGGGCGCTGTTTAACCTGCATCAATTCTCCAGCCCCTCTGCATGCCTTTAATCCTTGTGGTCTGCGCAGTTGCCTCAGGAGCACTTAAATGTACTGGGTTACTCTCCACAATATCTGTTAATCCCTTTCTTGAAGAGTTGAAGTGCACCGGGAAGCAGAAAGGGGTGGTTGGATATATGATCATCAGGAAGGAGTAGGGGAGCAGCAGGTTACTATTGTTGGTGGTTTGTGCAAAATTCACCCACCTTCTTCCTTACCTGCCTCAGGTCCTATCACACCAGTATCCCGAAGCACACCCAGCCCAGTAGACCCTGAGGCTGTGGAGGTCCTCATGAACTTTGATCCTGACCCTGCTGATTTGGAATTGTCCAGCATTCCAGGCCACGAGACCTTTGACCCTCGCAAGCATTGGTTCTCAGAAGAGGAGCTTAAGCCCCAGCCGATCATGAAAAAGGCCCAGAAAATACAGGTTCCTGATGATCAGAAGGTGAGCTGGGAACAAGGATAGGCTGCTGCTTTGGGGTTCAGAAGCCTTTTGCTTTCATTTTCCCATTTTCCAGAGTGGGAGGAGGGAATGGTCACACGTGGGTTTTATCACAGCCTGATTGGTCCAAGACTGAGAGGAAATCT